AGCAGTCATCAAATGCCACTATGTCTGAAATTAGACTGGGGGATTTAGTTTTGGGGGTTTTGTGAACTAAAAATCGAAACAATTTCTGCAAGTTTACCGTGCAATTTATTGCTGGTGGAAATTTTGTGTGAATTGCACGGAAACAAATGGGGGAAGATGAGATCTATATTGCTACTGGAAAATTTCCATTTTCTAAAATAATATTGCAAGAATTTGGTGGAGAAATCTCCCAACCTGGAATAATTGGGTTCTTGATGCAAACCATCCATGCGACAATTTTGTTGGCTTGCTAACTGGCATGTCATTTAATTTGGAAGCTTCTAGTTATTTTCGTGCTGCATCACGCTCCTGTTTCAATTTACCAATCTCGGCCTTCAAGTTCTCAACATGTTTCTGTAAGTTCTGGACTCCTTGTGCCTCTTGCAAGGTTTCCAATTCTATCTTATTGACTTGGGCAAGTTTGCTGCAGAGTGGATCTTAGTTGAAACAATTCTCCTTGTGCTGTGCCTGACATGGGCGAAATGGACATGTATCCGCTTTGCACAGTCTCATTGTCGTCATCCTCGTCTGCATCTGCTAACTCATGATTGTTGTCGCCCATCTTCAAGATCATGGATCTCTCGAAGTTGGGTGTATAGCAGTATAAGGACGAAATTTTTGGTCGGAGCTTAGATGGTGTGGATAGATACCTTGAACTGTTGTTCAAGTTGCCAACAGAAAGCTGCTGCCTCATTTCGGACGTTTTGGCAATCAGCATGGAGGAAATGGTATCTTAGTGTTGACAGATCGTTTGGTGCAAAAGTTCATTCTTAGTTTCGAGCTTTTTCGATTCTTCTCCCGCAGCTGTGCCACGACTGCCCCTTCGCAGGCTTGGTCCAACTGACCCTGGAGCGGTTGTAGCTTCAATTGAAGCTCTTCATTCTTTCTGGTTTCTTCTTGCAGGAGTTGCTCTGCTGACTCTTGTTTGAGTTGATACTTCACATTTTCTGTTGGAATCTCCCTAGAAGTAAAATCTATCGGTCTTGCAATTGTGAGCTAAGATATTCCTTACTCTATTTTCTATTCGTGCTTCTCAGTCATACAAAGCATCTGGTATCTTGCCATGACTACATTCAACCCCAACAATTTTCCTCTTACATTTCATTCCGGTCTCGATCCAATTTGGCTTCACATTCTTGTATACCGGTAGATGGGTCATGAGTCGGTCCAAGGTGTATTGTTTGTTTTGCCTTTTTTTCCGCTAAAGCCGCATTCCAAGTTTCTTGAAGATCTTCTTCCTCAACACTATTGTTAAAGGCATCCAAAAATTGCTTTTGGTCTTGCATTCGGTCTCGAAAGAATGTAGGGGCTTTCAGTTTGAAGAGGGCATCAGCCTTGCGCTTGGTGCAATCCGTAGCTTCTCTTGATGGTTTGGGTGGTGGGGTAGGGTTGGAATCGTTGGTAGTATCAGCAGTAGTATCAGAGCCGGCAACAACTGCTTCCTTGGTTTCTTCTGGAATGGAAAGATCTGATCAACAAGGATGTGCTAGTAGTTCATCGTTGGGAATACTTCTAGAGCCACCACCCGAACCGCCAGATATCGGGTTTACATTTTCCAGTTTCTTGACGGCCTTGAGAAAATTGGTTTGCAGCTTTGCTCTGGTGGTCTTGTCAACTTCCAAAGAGGATGAAACCTTTTGAGGTGGCTTCTTTGCTTCAGCAGCCACTTTTATCTTTGCCTTCTTGGCTTGTACCTTGGCCTTGATACGGTTCAATTCCTCCAACCTGGAAATTCGGGATGGTTTTTTCTTGTTTGACTGCGCTGGAGATGAAGCATGAGCGGCAGATGAAACGGGTGGACTTGCTTCCTCATCTACACTTCCATTCTCGCCTCTCAATGATGTTGACGACGTGCATCTAGGCTTCTTTGGATGTACCTTCTCCTTCTTTTTTCACTTCTTCTTCTTTTTCTTCTTCTTCTTCCTTGGGCTTCTCCTCTTCTGTTTCCGATAGGTACATGTTGCCTTCACTATCGCTATCTTCTTCTCCATCTTCATTCATTGCAGGCAGCATTCGTTGTTTGTATGTCCTTGGAGATGGTCTCATCAGGCATGACGCACTCCATCTATGAGGACAATAATCTTGAGGCTTTGTAGTGTCGTGCTGAGGATCCTTCTTTCTTTGGGGGAATGTTGGTATCAACAATAGTGAATCCTCTTCTGAGACAGTTGGATCACAATTGGTACTGTTACTGTCATTCAGTTTGGTTACCTTGCAATCCGTCTTGTTTGTCCTTGAGGCTGGATCTTTGAACATCCGCATTAAGGCGTTTTTTATTTGGATATCGCTGTGTGCTTCAGAAGTATGGAATGACTTGATGAAAGCAGCTATACGATCAATGGCGTTGTGATGGATGCAAATTCAAAATGTGAATGCAATGCGTTGGAAAGTGATATGAAGAATCAGCCACGCAACCTCAAAAGCATAACTATATTCTATATTCTACATTTCATGTCAAACATGTGATGTTGTTTGTACTTGGTAATACACGTGTACCGGCGTACGTATGTACCAGTGAGAAAGCAGTGAGACTGAAAGATCGGTCTTTATGTGAGTCA